ATGCGTGCTATTATGTGTTTTGTGAGTTTGTGTATGCATGCTAATATGTGTTTTGTGAGTTTGTGTATGCAAGCTATTATGTATTTTTGTGAGTCTGTATGTGTATTTTAGTGCATGTGAGTGTATAGGTCAGTGTGTATGAGTGTGTATGTTAGTGTGTATGAGTATGTGTGAGTGTGTATATGTCCGTGTGTGTGTAAGTGTGTGTATGTCCGTGTGTGTGTGTAAGTGTGTGTATGTCCGTGTGTGTGTGTAAGTGTGTGTATGTCCGTGTGTGTGTAAGTGTGTGTATGTCCGTGTGTGTGTGTAAGTGTGTGTTTGTCCGTGTGTGTGTGTAAGTGTGTGTATGTCCGTGTGTGTGTAAGTGTGTGTATGTCCGTGTGTGTGTAAGTGTGTGTATGTACGTGTGTGTGTAAGTGTGTGTATGTCCGTGTGTGTGTGTAAGTGTGTGTATGTCCGTGTGTGTGTGTATGTACGTGTGTGTGTAAGTGTGTGTATGTCCGTGTGTGTGTGTAAGTGTGTATGTCCGTGTGTGTGTAAGTGAGTGTATGTCCGTGTGTGTGTGTGTAAGTGTGTGTATGTCCGTGTGTGTGTAAGTGTGTGTATGTCCGTGTGTGTGTGTAAGTGTGTGTATGTCCGTGTGTGTGTGTAAGTGTGTGTATGTCCGTGTGTGTGTAAGTGTGTGTATGTCCGTGTGTGTGTAAGTGTGTGTATGTACGTGTGTGTGTAAGTGTGTGTTTGTCCGTGTGTGTGTGTAAGTGTGTGTATGTCCGTGTGTGTGTAAGTGTGTGTATGTCCGTGTGTGTAAGTGTGTGTATGTACGTGTGTGTGTAAGTGTGTGTATGTCCGTGTGTGTGTGTGTAAGTGTGTGTATGTCCGTGTGTGTGTAAGTGTGTGTATGTCCGTGTGTGTGTAAGTGTGTGTATGTACGTGTGTGTGTAAGTGTGTGTATGTCCGTGTGTGTGTAAGTGTGTGTATGTCCGTGTGTGTGTAAGTGTGTGTATGTACGTGTGTGTGTAAGTGTGTGTATGTCCGTGTGTGTGTAAGTGTGTGTATGTCCGTGTGTGTGTAAGTGTGTGTATGTACGTGTGTGTGTAAGTGTGTGTATGTCCGTGTGTGTGTGTAAGTGTGGTGTGTATATCCGTGTGTGTGTGTAAGTGTGTATGTCCGTGTGTGTGTGTAAGTGTGTGTATGTACGTGTGTGTGTGTGTGTGTGTATGTCCGTGTGTGTGTGTGTGTCCGTGTGTGTGTGTATGTCCGTGTGTGTGTATGTCCGTGTGTGTGTGTATGTCCGTGTGTGTGTGTGTATGTCCGTGTACGAATGACATTAAATAACTTGATCACGTGAAGCAAACTACCAGTTTGTTTATGTTATTTAATACGCCGTTAAAGGGGCATAACCAAGATATCAACTTTATTATGATTATCGTCACTTACATCTATCCGAGGCTGAACTTATCCCCCCCCCCCCCCATCCCCACCCCTACTCCCACCAACTTTTCTCGCGAATGTTGGTAGATAGCCGGCAGTTTGCGCGGATAACTCAACAACAGCTTTCTTAATGTCGTGGATCAAACGAATTATTCGGAACAGAGTAATCAGAGCCGCATTCACGTGGATTATCCCCCTTTTATTACCCTGTCCCTAGTTACCCCCCCCCCCCCCCCCCCCCCCCCCCACCGTACATGAGCAATGAGCGGGTGAGTAAAAGCACGATCATCTGTGAGGTAAATGTCGCTCACGACCAACGAACTGAGCCTAGACAGTGGGCGTGTCCACGTCAATGCTGGCACCAATAGGAACCGCCGTGGCAGCGGGTGCCGCCCTGAGGGAGCCATCACGGGGAGATAACCATTCTAATAGGCCATAACAAGGGAAGGAACTCACGCTGTAAGGCTGCTCCAGTCTCAGACAACAGGTTGGCCAGGGGTTGCTGGATGTCATAACAGGTTGGCCAGGGGTTGCTGGATGTCATAACAGGTTGGTTACAACTAGGTAAGTACTCACACAGTACTAGAGAGATTAGACGTACCCTAACATACACACAGTACTAGAGAGATTAGACGTACCCTAACATACACACAGTACTAGAGAGATTAGACGTACCCTAACATACATTAGACGTACCCTAACATACACACAGTACTAGAGAGATTAGACGTACCCTAACATACATTAGACGTACCCTAACATACACACAGTACTAGAGAGATTAGACGTACCCTAACATCCATTAAACGTACCCTAACATACACACAGTACTAAAGAGATTAGACGTACCCTAAAAAATAACTTGTTTTGGTAGAGACTACCATGCACTGATTCAGCAAAATTAAGTCATATGAATTAAGTCATATAAATTAAGTCAGAGGATAAAGTCACACTTGTGTATATTTGGTTATAAGATAACTGCTTAATTAGCAGGTAATTAAATACCTCGCAAAATTAGATTAATTACAAAATTCAAATGATTTCAAACAGCAATACAAATAAAAACAATAGGCTCACCAATTATTACCGACCTTATCTAATGCAGCATGTGATTAAGCAATATTAAGTTGAACGTCATAGAGCGTCAATATATATATATATATATATATATATATATATATATATATATATATATATATATATATATATATATATATAGTGGTGCATTGTTGTATATTTTAAGAAGTATTGTTTTACAATATTTACATTCTGTTGAGTGCATAATAAATTATTGAAAAGCTCGTTATTATAAACGTTTTTATTTAATTTTTAAAAATATTTTTAGCTTTAAAAGAACAGAACATAATCGGATAACTAAAAACAGCACCAAATGAACGTATCAAATTGTGTGTACAAGCAAGCAGGACAAAATTAGTAGTATGTATAACAATCTTTTTTTTAAAAGAACTAAACTTTTAATTTATCACAACGTACACATCACAATGCTTTTCATAGGATCTTTTCCTACTTGTTGAGTTTGAAAGAAATGGGTTTGGTACATGTGGGTCAAATTTCGCCATCAATTTTCGAGCCTTGACGGAATAAAAAAAAATCAGAAACACAAAAACATAAGACAACATCATGCTGTATGTTTAAAAAATAGTTCATACCATGTCCACTTGCTCCAACGAACGTTTATTGTAAAATGTTGTAACATTGTAAAATGTTAGCGTTGTAACATTGTAAAATGTTAGCGTTGTAACATTGTAAAATGTTAGCCTTGTAACATTGTAAAATGTTAGCGTTGTAACATTGTAAAATGTTAGCCTTGTAACATTGTAAAATGTTAGCGTTGTAACATTGTAAAATGTTAGCCTTGTAACATTGTAAAATGTTAGCGTTGTAACATTGTAAAATGTTAGCGTTGTAACATTGTAAAATGTTAGCCTTGTAACATTGTAAAATGTTAGCGTTGTAACATTGTAAAATGTTAGCGTTGTAACATTGTAAAATGTTAGCGTTGTAACATTGTAAAATGTTAACGTTGTAACATTGTAAAATGTTAGCGTTGTAACATTGTAAAATGTTAGCGTTGAGTTGGGGCCAGCACACCGTATCAACTATGTCTTCTTCCTATTGCCCGCCAACACAAAGTTTGTATTAAAAACACGAGCAATACAAACTAACTGGTTTGGGGCGTGCAATAAACCGTGAATACGTCTACAGTTTTAAAACACAATCCATACTGAACGTTTTATCATTTTTATAATTATTATACTAATAAAACTTATTGAAATGTATCTAAAATATTTAAATTAATTTAAATTAAATGTATGTTGATTTGTACATTATAAATACTAAATATATACTTAAATATTTTTGTAAACTTTAATTCCTGTGGGTTTTTTTTTCTGTGACATTTTCCGCTACAATTCATTGATTTAACCCTAAGTATAAATTATACCATTTTCCCAAACAATTCATTGATTTAACCCTAAGTATAAATTATACCATTTCCCCTCCAATTCATTGATTTAACCCTAAGTATAAATTATACGGTGAGCGGAAAAAAGCCATCGGAAAAAGTCACAGAAATAAAGTCAGTTTTTGCTAAGAAAATTCACACAAAAAAAAAGGTCCAAAGAAAAAAAAGCCTAACCAACCCACAAGAATGGTCTTAGACGAAATATTCTTTTGTTGCAAATTGTGAAATATTGGGCGTTTATAAATGCGCCTGATACTTTTTTAGTAAAATATTTATGAGGCATGACGGTTTACAATAATAATACGACTTTCATCTGTTCAATGAATAAAAATACTATACGATAAATTACAAGGCAGTTCAAATTTTGTTTAACATTTTTTAGAATACCCGGCAGAAAAATTATGTACAGGAAGTATAGACACATCATTGTATTTTTTTAAAGTTTTTTTTTTTTTTTTGCTGAGGGATTTTCCGTGGTCGGCGTTGTCCGTCAACATTGTGCAGTGTTGTCGTTTTGCGGCCTTTCTACAGTGTCGGCTTTTTAATTTGATCCTATGTTTATTCTATACAACTATTGTTACCGTGAGATGGGGGACAGGAAATCTTATCATTTCGGTTTTTATCAAAACACGATGAAAACAAACTGAACAGAGAAAAACATTCTATTAAAGTCTATTAAATTCACAAAATATATAGATAACCAAATGAAAACATAGTTTAGACTAAATTTAATATTTTTACGCGATTTTAATACATTTATATACAAATACAACCTACGCTCACATTTAAAATGTTTACATTAGATTTAATTAATCGTATAATGATTTGCACTGTCTGAAAATGTAATAAATGTATTAACAACTTCCATGCACAAAATACTAGTGATTAAATTTTTTTCGGTGTTTTTTTTCAATTATACAAGTATAACTGTTCTAGAAACTAAGAAAAACGTTTATGAAACACCTTTTTATATAGTTCAGTGCACTAATCTTCGGATAAAACCTAATCTTTTTTTTTCTTTGTCAATTAAAATATTCCGAGAGGTAAAAAGTTTTCAAAATATTCAATTTTTTTTTTTAGCGATGTCTGAGCCACAGCCTTCAGAACATCAACACATGACGTCACCTCGTGCCAGCGATGACGATCTAGATGACGATTGTGAGGATGACGTCATTTTGGACATTGATGACTCTTTTCAAACTGACGACACCAATGGAGTAGCAGCCTGTGACAATACTCATGACGTCAACAAGAAGTCGTCTGCAGCCACCAGCAGACGGCTGCTCAGGACGCCCAAGTGCGCACGCTGCCGTAACCACGGGGTCGTGTCGTGTCTGAAGGGCCACAAGCGCTACTGTCGGTGGCGGGACTGTCAGTGTGCCAATTGTCTGCTGGTCGTAGAGCGACAGAGGATTATGGCGGCACAGGTGGCGCTCAGAAGGTAATGGGGAGGAGGGGGTGGTTCTAATATTAGTATCCGACATCATGAACCAGACATGAACCAGACATGAACAAGACATGAACCAGACATGAACCAGACATGAACCAGACATGAACCAGACATGAACCAGACATGAATCAGACATGAACCAGACATGAACCAGACATGAACCAAACATGAACCACACTCAAATGAAGTTTTACTTTAGGAAGTTCCACATTGATTTGCTAAAAAAAATGTATGATCATCGGTCTATAACCTCATCTCTTTTAGTTACTTCTGTTCATTCACTGTAGGTGTTGTATGGCAAATGTTCCGTAATGATGGCCTAGGTACGCTATGTTACTCAACTGATTTATTTACAAGCCTATATTTAACTTGCTTCCTCCGTCTGTTTCAGTATATAAAAACATTTACACACACACACACACACACACACACACACACACACACACACACACACACACACACACACACACACACACACACACACATATATATATATATATAAATATATATATATATATATATATATATATATATATATATATATATATATATATATATATATATATATATATATATAAATTAGTAGTCAGTTACACTAAATTTTTTATTGTTAAATTTCCCAAATTTAGTAATGTCACTTAATTTATTGCAAAATATTTTGGAACTCATTTCGAGCCCGAAATCGCGCTTTAAAAATGTTTTAAAGTCCGCCGAAAATCGTAAAAGGTAAAACTTCATACTTGCCAACCGTATATGAAAAACGGAAGCTTGAAATGTGATTTGGGCCTCCTAAAGGCCCCCTCCCCCCACGCCGGTACAAAACACAATCACATTTATAAAATAACTTGCCGTCCCGGTCAGGCCATGCACTGGCTCTGTGAAAAAACCTATCTGTAAAGGACCATGACATGTGTGTTTCGAAATCAGCATATACCAGGCATTGCCCATCCTAACCACAACAAACCAAAACCAGAGTTTCTTCCAGGCTCCGTCCCCCCGAAGAAAGTCTACCGCCCCCCCACCCCCCCCCCCCCCCCGAACGAAATGGATTTTATATAGAAAACATATACTTTTACCAGTGTCCGCCCCCCCCCCCCCCGGAAAATGTTGACCGCCCCCCCCCCCCGCGAAAATATCAAGCCTCCCCCCCCCCCCCCCCGGAGAAAAAAGTCTAGAAGAAACACTGAACAAAACCAAAATAAACCGGGAATGATTTCCCCTAAACTTTCTCGAATATTCTTATATAACACTACGGCGGAAGGCACCTCGGGATAGAGACATGATATTTAATCAATTTTTAATAACTTAAACTTTTCAAAATAGAATAGTATCTCGTAGATAAAAGAATTGCGCACCAAGTGAACGCCAACAATCTGTGTATAATAGTGCAGAATATTAATAGTACTCTATAAATTCACATGTGTTATTTTTTAAGAAATTGAAATAGCCTAAATTACTACTTCCAGTCAACGGAAGTTACTCAAAATTTGAAAGAAGGTAGAGAATTAGATCTTTCACTAAAACGTGAAATTTCGTGTATCTATCTGAAATAGTACTCAAGTTATATGCTTTTGAAAAATTGAACATAGAAAAAAGTTCCATTTCTGGTTATCGGAAATCACTGAAAAGTTGATACGGATCTACAAATTTGATATAATACTTATATATAAAATTTATCAATCTAGCTGTAACGGTACTCAAGTTATCGTGTTTACAGACACACATACACACATACACATACGGACATGATTACAAAACTATGTTTTTCCGACTCAGGGTAGTGTAAAACGTTGAGATTTGCAAAATCTTGAATGTTTTTTTTTTTTGCACGATTACAAGACTTTCTCTATACTTCGTACACACGAGAAAGTAAAAAATGGAATAAAAATATTGTCTATATCCCGAGTTGCCATAAGAATATTTGAGAAAGTTTAGGGGAGATCACTTCCGGTTTATTTAGTTCATTCTTCTATTTGCTGAGGGTGGGGGGGGGGAGAGGGTATAGATCTGTATTTGTTATACAATGTTGGATTATTATGTTACATACCGTTACTGGTTGGATGTGGATCTGGTATGTTAAGGTGGATATGGTGTTGTGGTGGTTGTGGTGGATGTGGTAGGTGTGATTGGTGTGGTGTGGTGGGCGTGTGGATGTGGTGGTTGTGGTCGTAGTGGAGGGTGTGATCTAATTCTCTGCCTTCTGACAAATGTTGAGTAATTTCCGTTGACCGGAAGTAGTAAATTACGCTATTTCCGATTTCTCAAAAAACCCGTGTGAATTTATAAAGTACTAATAATATTCCGCACTATTATTCACATTTTGTTTTGCGTTCACTTGGTGTGAAATTCTTTTTTCTACGAGATTCTATTCTATTTTAAAAAGGGTATTGTTTTAATAACTTATTTAACATGGCACGTATACCCATCATATTTAACATCAAATTTACATCGCTAGCTGCAGCAATACCTGCACGTACACCAATCATATTTAACATCAAGTTTATGACGACGCCACAAAATCAGATTTTACCTTAGCCTGCACGTGTTATTATGGAGTAATTAAGACGTCTCGCACGTGCAAACGGCTGACGACACGGTCAGTCTGCTCGTAAACACACGCCTTATCTCAGCCTCGTTATGACAAGCCCTTCCACCCCAGCCACGGGAGACCGCGAGCTAAAGGGCGCGGGGCGCGGAGGGCGCCGTCACCATCATAAACTGTGGAGCACCTTCTTGTAAATCCTATCTAATTAGTGCAGCTATCAGCCCGGGGTCAGATACATTTATTGACGGTAAATTATGACTGGCGGGTCCGCAAAATTCTCCCCCTCCTCCCGTGTCCCACTTGTGAAATTCACCCCCCCCCCCCCCGCCCTACTACGAGAATTACCACTCACCCCTTTACCACTCACCCCTTTACCACCCCCTCCCCTCCCCCGCGCCCCCTGGTAACGTGAACAAAAATAAATCATACTTATGAACAGGCTAAGGTCTAATTTATCTATGTTGGCTGTTGGTTAATTTGACTTGCAACTTTTTTTTACTTTCTCGTATATACGAAGTATAGAGAAAGTCTTGTAATCGTGCAAAAAAAAAAAAATCGAGATTTTTACAAATCTCGACGTTTTACACCTCACTGATACGGAAAAACATAATTTTGCAATCTTGTCCGTATGTCTGTGTGTCTGTGTGTCTGTCTGTCTGTCTGTCTGTCTGTCTGTCTGTGTGTACGTGTGTAAACACGATAACTTGAGTACCGTTACAGCTAGGTTGATGAAATTTCATATATAAGTATTTTATCAAAATCGTAGATCCGTATCAACTTTTGAGCGATTTCCGATAACCGGAAGTGGTACTTTTCCTACTTTGAATTTTTCAAAAGCCTATAACTTGAGTACTATTTCAGATAGATAAATGAAATTTCACATGCAAGTAAAAGATCTAATTCTCTACCTTCTGTTAAATTTTGAGTAATTTCCGTTGACCGGAAGTAGTAATTTACGCTACTTCCGATTTCTCAAAAAACAAATGTAAATTTTTAAAGTACTAATAATATTGCGCACTATTATGCACTTTTTTATATGGCGTTCACTTGGTGTGCAATTAATTTGTCTACAAGATTTTATTCTATTTTTAAAACTTTAAGTATTTAAAATGGATTAAAAATCATGTCTATAGCCCGAGTTCCCATCCCCTGTTATTTTATATAAGAATATTCGAGAAAGTTTTGGGGAGATCACTCCCGGTTTATTTTGGTAACTTTCTCATGCAGGTATACATTATTTTACTTCTGATAACTTTATCTTACAGTAAACATTATTTTAGTTCTGATAACTTTATCTTATTGTAAACATTATTTTAGTTCTGGCAAATTTATCTTACAGTAAACATTATTTTAGTTCTGATAACTTTATCTCACAGTAAACATTATTTTAGTTCTGATAACTTTATCACATTATTTTAGTTCTGGTAACATTATCTTACAGTAAACATTATTTTAGTTCTGATAACTTTATTTTACAGTAAACATTATTTTAGTTCTGATAACTTTATCTTACAGTAAACATTATTTTAGTTCTTGCAACTTCATCTTACAGTAAACATTATTTTAGTTCTGATAACTTTATTTTACAGTAAACATTATTTTAGTTCTGATAACTTTAGCTTACAGTAAACATTATTTTAGTTCTGATAACTTTAGCTTACAGTAAACATTATTTTAGTTCTGATAACTTTATCTTACAGTAAACATTATTTTAGTTCTGATAACTTTAGCTTACAGTAAACATTATTTTAGTTCTGATAACTTTATTTTACAGTAAACATTATTTTAGTTCTGATAACTTTATCTTACAGTAAACATTATTTTAGTTCTTGCAACTTCATCTTACAGTAAACATTATTTTAGTTCTGAAAACTTTATTTTACAGTAAACATTATTTTAGTTCTGATAACTTTATCTTACAGTAAACATTATTTTAGTTCTGATAACTTTATCACATTATTTTAGTTCTGGTAACATTATCTTACAGTAAAAATTATTTTAGTTCTGATAACTTTATTTTACAGTAAACATTATTTTAGTTCTGATAACTTTATCTTACAGTAAACATTATTTTAGTTCTTGCAACTTCATCTTACAGTAAACATTATTTTAGTTCTGAAAACTTTATTTTACAGTAAACATTATTTTAGTTCTGATAACTTTATCTTACAGTAAACATTATTTTAGTTCTGATAACTTTATCACATTATTTTAGTTCTGGTAACATTATCTTACAGTAAACATTATTTTAGTTCTGATAACTTTATCTTACAGTAAACATTATTTTAGTTCTTGCAACTTCATCTTACAGTAAACATTATTTTAGTTCTGAAAACTTTATTTTACAGTAAACATTATTTTAGTTCTGATAACTTTATCTTACAGTAAACATTATTTTAGTTCTGATAACTTTATCACATTATTTTAGTTCTGGTAACATTATCTTACAGTAAACATTATTTTAGTTCTGATAACTTTATTTTACAGTAAACATTATTTTAGTTCTGATAACTTTATCTTACAGTAAACATTATTTTAGTTCTTGCAACTTCATCTTACAGTAAACATTATTTTAGTTCTGAAAACTTTATTTTACAGTAAACATTATTTTAGTTCTGATAACTTTATCTTACAGTAAACATTATTTTAGTTCTGATAACTTTACGTTACAGTAAATATTTTGTCCTCTGCTACACAGACACCAGGCCAGCGAGATGACCTCTGCCCTGAAGGCCAAGGTCAAGTCAGCAGCCACGTTGTTACAACAGAGGAAAATGTTACAGCGTAACCTGCGCAGTCTCCAGCAGCACTCGCTGTCTCGCGAGATCTTGTCCAGTAAGTCACGTCATGGTCACGTGATCTTGTCCAGTAAGTCATGGTCACGTGATCTTGTCCAGTAAGTCATGGTCAGGTGATCTTGTCCAGTAAGTCATGTCATGGTCACGTGATCTTGTCCAGTAAGTCATGTCATGGTCACGTGATCTTGTCCGTTAAGTCATAGTCACGTGATCTTGTCCGTTAAGTCATGGTCACGTGATCTTGTCCAGTAAGTCATGGTCAGGTGATCTTGTCCAGTAAGTCATGTCATGGTCACGTGATCTTGTCCAGTAAGTCATGGTCAGGTGATCTTGTCCAGTAAGTCATGTCATGGTCACGTGATCTTGTCCAGTAAGTCATGTCATGGTCACGTGATCTTGTCCAGTAAGTCATGTCATGGTCACGTGATCTTGTCCAGTAAGTCATGGTCAGGTGATCTTGTCCAGTAAGTCATGGTCAGGTGATCTTGTCCAGTAAATCATGGTCAGGTGATCTTGTCCAGTAAGTCATGTCATGGTCACGTGATCTTGTTCGTTAAGTCATGTCATGGTCACGTGATCTTGTCCAGTAAGTCATGTCATGGTCACGTGATCTTGTCCAGTAAGTCATGGTCAGGTGATCTTGTCCAGTAAGTCATGGTCAGGTGATCTTGTCCAGTAAATCATGGTCAGGTGATCTTGTCCAGTAAGTCATGTCATGGTCACGTGATCTTGTTCGTTAAGTCATGTCATGGTCACGTGATCTTGTCCAGTAAGTCATGTCATGGTCACGTGATCTTGTCCAGTAAGTCATGGTCAGGTGATCTTGTCCAGTAAGTCATGGTCAGGTGATCTTGTCCAGTAAGTCATATCATGGTCACGTGATCTTGTTCGTTAAGTCATGTCATGGTCACGTGATCTTGTCTTGGTCAGGTGATAATATCTGGGCCAATGGAAAAATTACGATGTTCTAGGGTTAGGGTTTTGGTTAGGGCTAAGGTTAGGGTTTTGGTTAGGGTTTTGGTTAGGGTTAGGGTTAAGGTTAGGGTTAAGGTTAGGGTTAAGGTTAGGGTAAAGGTTAGGGTTAAGGTTAGGGTTAGGGTTAGGGTTAAGGTTAAGGTTAAGGTTAAGGTTAAGGTTAAGGTTAAGGTTAAGGTTAAGGTTAAGGTTAAGGTTAAGGTTAAGGTTAGGGTTAAGGTTAGGGTTAGGGTTAAGGTTAGGGTTAAGGTTAAGGTTAAGGTTAAGGTTAAGGTTAAGGTTAAGGTTAAGGTTAGGGTTAAGGTGAGGGTTAGGATCAACACAAATGAAACATAAAACGTCCGCGTATTCCGCTTTTATCAAAATACCAACTATGGTGTCTGTCCAAATGGTGTCTGTCCAAACTACCAACTATGGTGTCTGACCAAACAACCAACTATGGTGTCTGTCTTTAGTATACACTTACATGTTTTATGACGTCAAGGAACCTGCTTGGCCATCTAATGACGTCACCATCTTATCTTCCAGATTATCGCTCTCGTCTTCACGCTCTGCCCCCACCGGATGTTGTCAAATCGATGTCTCCATTTGTCAACGAGCGCATGCGCAAACGCCGCTGTTTCGCCGACAAGGAACTGGAGATGGTCATGCTGGAGCGCGAGCGGCGGACGGAGCTGACCAATCAGCAGCTCGCCTTACACCGCGGTGCATTGTTGGGCTTGCCGGGACAAAAGCCACACATTGATCTGGCCAAGTCACGAGCGTTGCTAGGCAACACGACACCAAGAGACTTCCTGCAGCGGGTGTTCCCCGCCCACAACCCGCGCCTGCTGGAGTTGGTGTGGCAGGGTTGTGGGGGGGACTTGGAGCGGGCCATCGAGCAGCTGGCCGTGGGACTGAGGGCCAACTTCCTGCCCCAGGCTCGACCACCAGTGGCCCCCACTGCCGTGACGTCAGCGTTGTCTTCTCCCCTGCTGGACCCTGTCCACATCTCCAAGCTGTTCACCATGTACCCCCTCGTCTTCCCCGCCCCTTTCATCATGCCACGCCCACCCCCAAGCGAGACTGACCAACCGTCTGATGACGTCACAAACCCACCCCCGCACGAGGCCAGTGACGACGAGACGTCCCCCTCCCAGCCCGAGGGTCGTGCATTGACCTCACCCGCCACCAACTCACCCCCACCTCCGGGAACACCTCGAGCAGATGTCACCTACCTGAAGATGTCACCTGATGCCAGAATGTCATCAGGCATGTCATTTGGCTTGTCATCCCCGTACCACGTGGTAGGGACGTCACGTGTCTTCCCACAGTCTCAGCACTTCCTGCCTTCTGAAGCCAGACCCGCACACTTTGTCCCCACACACCACAGTCCCACACACAATCTCACACACGGGCCCACACACCCCACACAACATACTCCGCCACACCACGATCCCCTATATCACAGCCACACACAGAAAGTTCTTCCTCACAGCCCCACACATCACGCTCCCCCACACAGCCCCACACACCCCCCACCACTTAATTTATCGTCCGTGACAAACAAAGGAGCGGAAGCTGAGAGAGCAGTGACGTCATCCGGTCCACATGTTGATGAAAGAAGGACCGCTATGACGTCACCGCCAACAAAAAAATCTTTCCTAAACTTTTCGGTGGATGCTATAATGAGCCGAACATAATGAGCCGGAAATAATGAGCAGGACATAATGAGCAGGACATAATGAGCCGGACATAATGAGCCGAACATAATGAGCAGGACATAATGAGCCGGACATAATGAGCCGGACATAATGGGCCGGACATAATGAGCCGGACATAATGAGCCGGACATAATGAGCCGGACATAATGGGCCGGACATAATGAGCCGGACATAATGAGCCGGACATAATGGGCCGGAAGTGAGTAGCCGGATTACTGAAAGACAGGATAAAAATATGAACTACTGGTCAAAGAAAGCTTGCCGTTGCCATGGCAACAAAGCAGGAGAGCCCCCACCCCCTCTAGGATCACGTGACCACAACTTGCCCAGTGCGCTGTTCTGTTGCCATCATTCAGCCTGCTGGTTGTGACGTCACTAGTGGCCAGACGACACTAGCGTGCTCGGCTGTTTGTACAGTGACCCAATAAATGAGTTGAATTGACCTACTTGTTTTAACTGTATAATTGACCTACTTGTTTTAACTGTATATTGACCTACTTGTTTCAACTGTATATTGACCTACTTGTTTTTACTGTATATTGACCTACTTGTTTCAACTGTATATTGACCTACTTGTTGACCATTAGCTGACCTGACGAGTTGTCTACGTGTGTTTGTTGATTTTTCTCTACACATTTTAATCACGGCTGTTAGACAGTAGTAGCTGGTACAGCCGCATCCAGCTGCAGCCATGTTCAGTCATAGCCGTCCAATTACAGCCGTCCAATTACAGCCGTCCAATTACAGCCGTCCAATTACAGCCGTCCAATTACAGCCGTCCAATTACAGCCGTCCAATTACAGCCGTCCAATCACAGCCGTCCAATTACAGCCGTCCAATCACAGCCGTCCAATCACAGCCGTCCAATTACAGCCGTCCAATTACAGCCGTCCAATTACAGCCGTCCAATTACAGCCGTCCAATCACAGCCGTCCAATCACAGCCGTCCAATTATAGCCGTCCAATTACAGCCGTCCAATTACAGCCGTCCAATTACAGCCGTCCAATTACAGCCGTCCAATCACAGCCGTCCAATTACAGCAGTCCAATCACAGCCGTCCAATCACAGCCGTCCAATTACAGCAGTCCAATCACAGCCGTCCAATCACAGCCGTCCAACCACAGCCGTGTCCAGCTGCAGCTGTCAGCGATGATTTTCCCACCTTAACCCCCCCCCACCACCAACCCACGCCGCTGCATGTGACGTCACCAGTTGCCAGACGACACATGCGCCATATTGAACGACCAGTGTCCATCTAACATGTTGATGGAGGATCCAGACGTGTTTACGTAAGGGGGGGGGGGGGGGTAATGTTTGCACCTGCAGACGACAGGATAACATTGACACACAATACCGCCATTTTTGCCTCAAGGCATTCTAAATGTAGAATTGAGTGTAAAATTAGAAATGCAGACAAATATTCTCTAGCTCCTGCAGATGTTACTTTATTCACAAAACATTTTGGCACGAGTAAAAGTTTAAAATAAAACATTATGCAATTTTCTAATGAAATGCCTTTAAATGCTCGAAAATAAGAAGATAAAAGTTAAATTTCTTTCGATGGATAATACAGTAAAATGTGTTTTACTATTGTACTGTCTTCCTCTAAATTTCCAAATGATAGAAAAATACCTGTTTTATTTATGTATTTGTTTTTAGTTATAAATGATTTAATACATGTTCCTCTTTAGTAGCTCTTATTTAATGCACAGCGTCTGTTTGCTTGTCTGTTTGTTGGTGGATTTGTGGCTAATTTTGTAATTTGGGTTTGAAAAAAAATATGTGTAAGAAAACAACACATTTATAGTGACATATTTATAGTGACATATTTATTTATTATCAATTTCATGAACGTTACAAATAGTTTATAAATAAAAAATAATTTTTTTCGTGCCTTCTTCCTCGCAAAAGTTTCTACTAATTCAATTCTTGTGTCGAAGAGTAATCACATTCTATTGAAATTGTTGCTAAGTCCACGAGTCCGCTTAGCGACATAGCTGAACGCAAGTAAGTTTGAATTTTTGAAAAACTCCGACAGCCACGTTTAAAGCACCGGAAACAGTGTTTCTTCCAGACTTTTATTCAATAAAAGCTTTGGTCGCTCAAGTGAAGTTCCAGTTCCAAACCTGATGCTTTATGAGACAGGTGAAGTAGAGTTTCTGTGACTCTGCTCATTAGATATCTTACACTTTTAGCGCCCAAACTGTTTATTAAAGAAAGTAAACTTGTTTTATTTTCTTGTTTTTATTGCATTTAGAAGTTTTTTTTTTAAATTAAGGTTTTCACAGTAGGTGGATACATCTGAAAAATTATGTCCCTTAAACCTGGAGGTTTATGTCCCTTACACCTGGAGGTTTATCTCCCATAAACCTGGAGGTTTATGTCCCTTAAACCTGGAGGTTTATGTCCCTTAAATCTGAAGATATATGTCCCTTAAACCTGGAGATTTATGTCCCTTAAACCTGGAGATATATGTCCATTAAACCTGGAGATATATGTCCATTAAACCTGGAGATATATGTCCCTTAAACCTGGAGATATATGTCCATTAAACCTGGAGATATATGTCCATTAAACCTGGAGGTTTATGTCCCTTAAACCTGGAGATATATGTCCCTTAAACCTGGAGATTTATGTCCCTTAAACCTGGAGATATATGTCCATTAAACCTGGAGATATATGTCCCTTAAACCTGGAGATATATGTCCATTAAACCTGGAGGTTTATGTCCCTTAAACCTGGAGATATATGTCCCTTAAACCTGGAGATTTATGTCCATTAAACCTGGAAATTTTTTCTTCGTTGAAACATTGGGCGCCTTTCTCCCCTAACTAAATATTTTGTTACTCTTTTATTTTGTAAGAATTTAAGTTACATTGTGACTTTTTTCTCTGACTTTTTTTCCCGCTATACAAACCCGGCGGGACACATCAACAGGCCACAGCAAGCTCACAACAATAGCCGGCCATTGTCGGACCGAACTAGCCAATAGAAAGCCACCATTGTCCATCACAAACATTAGCTCACCCAAACTAGGTTGGCCGTCAAAAGACGTCTGATCCAGATAAGGACTGCACCATTTTTAAATGGGTTAAAATGAGGACTGCACTTTTTAAAATTTAACAAAAGTAATATTTTAAAAGTAAAGGTTGTATTTTTTTTATTTTAGTTCAAGTATTTATTTGAAATTTCATCAAATTAAGGTTTAGGATGTGTTAAATTAGATAAAACAAGATATCAACAATTTAGTTCTATGACTATTCTTATTAAATGTAGTTGATATTTACAATTATTACAAAACTGGGCAAAATTATGTATAACTATACATTTCATTGCAATTTACAAAATTTTTACGGACGACTGGATATTTTCGTGTGGGGGGGGGGGGGACACTAGTAAAAGTGTATGTTAACTATATATATTCCGTCTTGTTGGGAGGGGGGGAGTAGACATCGAAGAGATGTCTGGAAGAAACTCTGGTGTGACGTCACACTTTCTCAATACATCACCCCATATAAACTCTAGTCATAAAACTCCCCCCCCTCCCCGACACTCTAGGAACGATATGCCATTTATGGACGACGCTTAAAATGAGATTAAAAAAATTAATTATGTTTGATACATCTAGTTCAACAGATTTAAAACAATTAGTAATCTAGTCATTAGCTCAATCTATCGATAATTCTCTCCATACTTACAATAGAGGATTTTTTGTAATGAAGGTTGAAATAAGATGTAAGAGTGTGTGTATGCGTGTGTGTGTGTGTGTGAGGGAGGGGGTGTGTGAGGAAAACACGTTTTTAAAATAGAATTTACGGTCAGGTCATTTATTTGCTACATTTCGATCAATTTAACTGTGGGGCGACAGTCAAGTGGAACATTTAAAACTACCACCAGACCACTGGACCACCAGACCACTGGACCACCAGACCACTGGACCACCAGACCACTGGACCACCCGACCACCAGACCACCAGACTACTGGACCAAGAGACCACTGGACCACTGGACCACCAGACCACTGGACCACCAGACCACTGGACCACCCGACCACCAGACCACCAGACCACCAGACTACTGGACCAAGAGACCACTGGACTACTGGACCACCAGACCACCAGACCACTGGACCACCAGACCACTGGACCACCCGACCACTGGACCACCCGACCACCAGACCACCAGACTACTGGACCAAGAGACCACTGGACCACTGGACCACCAGACCACCAGACCACTGGACCACCAGACCACCAGACCACTGGACCACCAGACCACCAGACAACTGGACCACCAGACCACCGGACCACTGGACCACCAGACCACTGGACCATCAGACCACCAGACCACTGGACCACCAGACCACCAGACCACCAGACCACTGGACCACCAGACCACCGGACCACTGGACCACCAGACCACTGGACCACCAGACCACCAGACCACCAGACCACCATACCACCAGACCACCAGACCACTGGACCACCAGACCACCAGACCACCAGACCACTGGACCATCAGACCACCGGACCACCGGTCCACCAGACCACCAGACCACCAGACCACCAGACCACCAGACCACTGGACCACCAGACCACCAGACCACTGGACCATCAGACCACCGGTCCACCGGTCCACCAGACCACCAGACCACCAGACCACCAGACCACTGGACCATCAGACCACCGGACCACCGGTCCACCGGTCCACCAGACCACCAGACCACTGGACCACCAGACCACCAGACCACCAGACCACCAGACCACTGGACCATCAGACCACCGGTCCACCGGACCACCGGACCACCAGACCACCAGACCACCAGACCACCAGACCACCAGACCACCAGACCACCAGACCACTGGACCATCAGACCACCGGACCACCGGTCCACCGGACCACTGGACCACCAGACCACCAGACCACCAGACCACCAGAACACCGGACCACCGGACCACCGGACCACCAGACCACCAGACCACCGGACCACCGGACCACCGGACCACCAGACCACCAGAC